CACACTTATACACTTCAAAATAACTACGAAGTATTTTCAAACTAAATATGCGATGATGACTACTTTCATGACTTTTGATAACTCACTTGGTGACTTGGTACGTATGGAATGAACACAAGTCTATATATGTATTTATAGCTTTATGGTGGCAACCTTCTACACTTTTGTATATGTTAGAATATCTCTCATATTTATCTATTCCCCATATATTTCTCATTACACAAAATATCAAGATCTAGAGTGTTCCATGTAGAATATTGTTTGTGTTTATCTATTGCCTAGATATTTCTCATGCAAAATATCTAGATATAGAGTATTATATTATCTAAAGTACAATAATTACTCCAATTTATTTGGAAAGTTTCTCATGTAGAAGTTTCCTATTCCATAAGATACTAGGAAGGCAAATGTGTCACACCCCCCTAACATTTTTTCTACTATGATCATATTTCTTTCCTCTTAATAAAATATTGCTTTTTCTACTCTAGAAGTTGTTTCTAACCCGAAAATACATTTTACTACAAAGGGGTAAGTAAAAAAATGTTCTACCTATAGAAAAAACCATTTGTTCCATAAAGGACAACTAGTGTCATGTAAGAGTGGCAACATTCCTAATTTATTAATTATGCAGTATTGTTATTTGTACAATACTTTTTTTGAATGCATAATTGTTTTTATGGTCAAACTATTTCTATTCCTATCATGTCATGTCAAGCCTTCTTTTGCTCTTGCCTCATAACGATGTATATCTTTTCAACTTGTATACCTTTGTTTTCGGTTGGAGCTTTTCTATGGACTTAACGCCACTATGTGCCTCTACTGTCTTTGTGCCTTGCGGATAATAAACACTCGCTTAGCCAAATTTGTTTAAGGTTGATAAAGTGTGTCAATTCTAACACACGAAAGTATTTTCCAACCTAATCTTTAAGCCTGTTACAACATAAAAATCCTCAGTAAATTATAGAATCAAAAGAGAGTGCTAGGAAGACTCAAATTTTTCACGAGATATTGAAGTGTCAATACTCTTTATTAGTTCTTGTTGGAGCATGAATTTTTTTAATGAGTTCATACCATTTTTTTTTATTGATGATAGCAGTGTTCTAGTTCATGGGAACTATTGCTTCATGTTTAGCAGCACAAAAAATATTTAATATTCACTTGGGAAATTGTCACAAAGAGAAAATTGCACTTGTTGGTCTGTGAAATTGGTATATGTTCTTGTGAAAATGGCTTCTAGCTTCAATATAAAAATATTCAACCTTAATAAAATATATAAAGTTCCATTTACTTATTTACAATGTACTATATATTTATTAGCCACTGATGGTGTCCAGTGAAGAGAATAGATATGAAATATCTGTTATGTTATTTAAAACAAATGTTTTACTAGTCATTGATAGTGTCCAATGAAGAGAATAGACATGCTATTTTCTTTAAGTGGTTTTGGGGTATGCTTGATCTGGTGGATGAAGTACTTCTGGCGATTAACAATGCTACCATTCCGGCTGGGTGGAACGAGACCACTATTGTTATGATCCCAAAGGTGAACAATCCAGAAAAAAGTGGCACATTCACTGTGCAATATGGTGTATAATGTAATTTCAAAAGTCTTATCAAATAGGCTCAAAGTTATCTTACCCGATATCATTAGTCACCACCATAGTGCTTTTGTTCCCGGGAGGTTAATCACATATAACATTCTCTTGGCTTATGAATGTATTCATACTATGAAGAAGAAGAAGGGGAAGAGGGGGCTATGTGATGTGAAGTTGGACATGCACAAAGCTTATGACAGAGTTGAATGGTCCTTTCTGGAGAGAATTATGAAGAAGATGGGGTTTGACCAGCGCTGGATCAATTTGATAATGGCATGTGCCACCTCGGTGAGTTACAAAGTTCGATTCAATTCTATTGAAACAGAAACTTTTTTACCAACAAGGAGGCTGCGTTAGGGTGACCCATTGTCACCATATCTGTTCTTATTAGTAGCTGAAGGGCTCTCATGTATGCTGAGGGGAGCCAAGGAGAGAGGGGAGTTGGAGGGCATCAAAGTATGCAGGGGAGCACCAGTTATTTCTCATATCCTATTTGCAGATAATTCCCTCATACTTATGCATGCAGATAAGAAAAACACAGATTGTCTCATGGATATTCTGAATAAATATTGTGCCAGCTCAGGACAAAAAATCAGTGAGGCGAAGTCTAGTATATTCTTTTCTAGCAACACAGATACTGATGTGAAGGCGGAGGTATGTGAAACTTTGAATATCATGACTGAATCTCTAAGTGACAAGTATTTGGGGTTGCTGGCTTTGGTGGGAGCAGACCGAAGCGATTGCTTTCGTCACTTAATTGACAGGGTTGCTAAGAGAATAAATGGCTGGAAGGAGAAAATTCTAAGCATGGGTGGTAAAGAGATCCTTATAAAATCTATTGCTCAAGCTGTGTCGGTATTTGCGATGATGGTGTTTAAAATTCCTAAAAACATATGTAAAGGAATAACAAGCGCTATTTCGCAGTTCTGGTGTTGTGATGACAATGATCAGAAAAGGATTCATTGGCAACAATGGTGGAAGTTGTGCATGTCGAAAGAAAAAGGAGGGATGGGGTTCAGAGATCTGCTGTCCTTCAACTCTGCTATGTTAGCAAGGGGGTGTTTAGTTCACCCCCAATTCCAAACTTTGACACTATAAAAAAAAAGATTTCCCATCACATCAAATTTACGGTACATGTATAGAGTACTAAATGTTGACGAAATCAAAAACTAATTGCACAGTTTGGTTGTACTTTGCGAGACGAACGTTTTGAGCCTAATTAGTCAACGATCGAACAATTATTATCAAATTAAAACAAAACGTACTGTAGATATAGTGTAGCTACAGTGAACTCGGCGGCGCCGATTCGGCCGAACTAAACGTGGCCCAAAGCAAGTTTGGAGACTTCTTAGTGAACCTGACTCCCTATGTGCGAGAGTTCTTAGGGCGCGCTACTATCCTGAAAAGCAGTTGCTCTTATACATGGCAAAGTATTCTGACGGAACTTGAGTGTTTCAAGCAAGGATATATTTGGAGAGTTGGAGATGGCACACAAATTAATATATGGGAGGATAATTGAATTTCAGGAAGTCATAATCTGAAGATCTTAACGCTCAGAGGTAATAATATTATTACAATAGTTGATGAGCTTATCAATCCTATTGATTCAACATGGGACGTTGAGCTGGTAAAATCTATTTTCTGGAATGAGGATGTAAACCGAATTCTGTAAATTCCAGTCACACCAGGGAGGGAAGATTTTGTTGCCTAGCAATACAATAGAAATGGCATCTTCTCGGTTAAATCCGCTTATCATGGTGAATGGAAAAGGAGGTTGGGGTAGCGAATGGTGGCCCTCCAAGGGGGCGGTGTGAGCAGCACTAAAGTTTGGAAACGCCTGTGGAAGCTGGACGTGCTGGGGAAGATCAAAATATTTGGTTGGCGAGCGCTTCTTGGGTTGATTCCATGCCGAGCTATTTTGGCCAACCGACACATCTCCAACGTGTCTGGTTGTCCGGTCTGTCAGAATGCCACGGAAGATATCAGGCATATAATTTTCACATGTGACCGAGCAAGAGCAATCTGGAGATCGCTAGGAATGTGAGAGAAAATAGAACAACTTCTGGGTACTGATCGCTCGGGATCCATCATTCTAGAAGAAGGCATTAGAAGAGGAGAGCAAATTCAAGCAATGGGAGTAGGATTTCCAAAGCTGATCTTAACAGGAGGCTGGTATCTCTGGTGGGAAAGAAGGCAGCGGGTGCATGGGGAAAGCACCCAACGACCATCAAGGTCTAGCCTCTCTATTGTTACTCTCACAAAGAATTATAAATTGGCTGCAAAAAAGGGTGTCACAATTAGAAAAGGTTGGCAAAAACCACCGGAAGATGTGGTGATGTGTAAATGTTGATGCTTCTTTTGATGAGGATATGGGATGTGGAAGTATGGGTGCCATCATCAGAGATAGCTCAAGCGGAATGGTGGTGGCGTCAAACAATTTTTACGGCTCATGTGGTTGACGCACCTATGGCTGAAGGGTATGCTCTGAAGGAAGGGTTGATATTAGCTCAAAATGTTGGCTACAACCGAATAATCGTCCAATCTGATTTCATAGAAGTGGTCAACATTATGGGTGATGGAGGATTCACAGCTAATTCAGGAGCAGCCATATATGATGAATGTCAAGCTATTTGGTTAGGATTCCAGGGGATTTCCATAAAGCACTGCTGAAGGGTAACAAACCAAGTGGCCCATGAACTGACAAGGCGGGCTATGTTTTCAAAAAATTATTGTATTTGGGACGATGACCCCATAGCTTTATTGCTGATCTTCTATCAAACGAAGTAATAATTCTTGATCAATAAAGCTTTACCGCTTGGTTTGTTTAAAAAATTAAAAGGGCGAGAAAGAAAAATAAAATAAAAATACAAATTTTCAAAGAAAATGAAAAAACGCCCACAAGAAGCCCGTGCGTTTTTTTTCCGCCGTCGATGCATAACCTGCTTCCCCTTCCGTCCGCTGCATCCATCCCTCTTCCCTCCTCCTTCTGTCTCTCTCGCTACCCTCGCGCCCAGACGACTGTTGGGCCGCCGCCGCCCTAGGCCAGGTGCTGAGGCTTCCTTGGTCTCATCGCCGGCGACGAGCACCCACCAGGTACTCCCACCCCTTCTCTTCCCTTCCCTTATGCTGTGCGAAGCTGAGCACCGAAACCCTAACCTAAAGCTATTTAGCTATTTGACAATCCTCCTAACTTCGATGTTTTTGCAAAAATTATTGGGTGTACATGTGTACACCCATGTCCCTTTACAGGATCCGCCCCTGTTGTGTATTGGATTGTACCGAATTGTTTGTTATATACTACCCTGGGCTAAAATCAATGGTGCGCCACTGATCAGCCGCCAATGTGTTTGACGAAATGCCTCTCAGACCGGTTGTGCTCGTTTCTGCCCCGCTGTGTCCAGGACGATGGTGGGGCTCTCAGAAGGGGAGAAGCACTTCATCCACGGTGGCATTGCGCAAGACATTCGCACTGATGGGCGTAGGCGACTGCAGTTCCGGGCCCTCTCCGTCCAGACCGGAGTCATTCCACAGGCAGGTTTCAGAACTTGTTTGGTCGCATCTATGTGCCTTTTTCTCCTTTTTTCTTTCTGGAAATGCCCTGCGGGTTTATGTTGGTTCAGATTGGTGGTTGTTAGTGTTACAGGCCAATGGCTCAGCGCATGTTAGATTGGGGGCCACTGAAATAATCGCTAGTGTCAAGGTAAGAGTTCATGCTTGCATTTTGCTATCAAAAGGGCCAGGCCAATGTTTTTGCATGTTTAGTTCAATCCGCTGTACAGCATTTTATATACTGAACTTACCTTCAAAATTCCTACCAATCAACTCTTTTTCCCTATACATTGAGGTAGAGGTTATCAATTATTGATTCTAATTAAGCATCAGGCACCTATGCTGCAAAGCTAATGCTGTAATTGAATTTTATAGTGTAAAGTTATGAACCCTGAAATCATATTGCTAGTTTTGTTTGACCATTCTGAATGACAATAAACATTACGATAGAGAGTCAACGTATCTGTTGATATTATTAGTACTTAAACTTGCCCAACAGTAATAAAATAAAATTGTTAGACATAGGTGTTGTACCTCTTCATCTGTGTCATTTTATTTGACTTCCTTTGTTTTCAACGAATTGGCAACTGCAGGCTGAACTGGGAAAACCAAGCATTCTTCATCCTGACAAAGGAAAAGTTTCAATTTTTGTTGACTGTAGTCCAACAGCTGAGCCTATGTTTGAGGTTGGTGATTTCCTCTGTCTGGATAAGATTGAAAATAACCACAGTCTGATACATTATTTGATTTCCCATATGCCCATTATTTAGCAATGTGGTTGTGGTGTTTATTTCTAAATCTTTTAAATCTTCTATGGGATATGCATTTAGGCTTTGCAAAAATTCTATGATTGAATGCTAATGATGTGGCATTGAATATGAAGAAACAACGAACTTGTTAACTATGAAAAATAAAGAAATCACTGGGGCACATTTGAAGAAGCTTGTCTCAAAATGTTTCTGATAGTAGTTTTTGATTTTTCGATGTTATGTTACTAGAGGCTTTTATTATTTACAGGTGCTTTAACAGATAAATCCCTTTTCAGGGTGTGCTCATTTCATTACAGGTAGTAGAAAACCAGTACTAGCATTGTCTGGTAAAACAACGCTGCTAGAAAGGAATATATATTCCATTACCATTCTTGTAACCCCACATTTTGTACAACTTCTGGCACGTGTAGAAAGGGAAACACTATTTTTTTGTTCCTCTTAAGATTTCATTCTGTTTGAAAATTTTATAGTTTTACTTTTGATAATGCTTATCTTATTTGGATTTTTCTAGGGTAGAGGGTCTGAGGAATTGTCCGCTGAGCTCTCTGTTGCCCTGCAAAGATGCTTGCTAGGTGGTAAAAGTGGTGCAGGTAACATATAATTTTATTGCATCCCTAAAATCCTTGCATTTGACATAGCTTTGGACAAGTCTTAGTGTACACTGATCTCCTTTATTTTGATACTCCTTATATCTGCATCGTTTCAGTTAGAACTACTATTCGAACATGGGTGACAACATTATTTGTGTCATTACAATTGGTAGGCAATTAATTGGATGTGCCTTCATTAGGTTAAGCTTTTCCTAGACAATGAATTATACCTAGTAATTTGGATTTACGGTACCAATACTAAGCACATTTATTTAGATACACCAACTAGAATGGCATTGCATTCATCACCATCGATTGTCATTGTCATGCCTATTTAGTTGCAGGTGTAGTACTTAATGTTACAAGTGTTATGGATGATGTTCTTTGGAACAAAAATAGACGCATGCCATTATTTCTACCAGTCATCCTACATTTGGTATAAAGGTGATTTAAGTGCACTGAAGTTGCTGAACTGTCATATCTGTGATTGTTCTTTAAACTTTCCAGGTTATTGGGAGATTTCATTTAGAGATTAGTGTGTTAACCAGTTGCAATTCTGCTTGATCGCGTTGTTTGTTATAGTCAAGAAATTTTTAATGAGAAATAGATTCTCATTTTGTTATCCATCTGTTTGCTTGTATATACAGTTTTATTTCAATTCAAACTCATGCCAGCAACATTTTGTTGGCATATAATTTACTACACTGCATCGAATTGGCAGCGCATCTGTTAGTGTCAGTTAACAACATCCTCATTTCAGGTGCTGCAATTGATCTGTCGTCCCTAATTGTTGTTGAGGGAAAGGTCTGCTGGGATTTGTACATTGATGGGCTTGTGGTCAGTTCTGATGGTAATTTGCTAGATGCGCTATCTGCTGCAATAAAGGTGACTTTTGATTTGTATTGCTTGTTAGTTGCAGGTTTAAATTTCATATTTTTCTTGCAACTCTTTGAATGGAGTCTAGTGTTTCCACTCCACAAATGTATTGGTGGAAAAAGTGTCATCTGTTCTTCATAGACAGTTATCATTGCATCAGATATGGAAAATATTAAAATGTTCAATAACAGGACTAATGCCATAGATTTCTTTACTCTCTGTTTCATTTGATAGAGGTGCTTATATGTTACACATCAATTATCTTAACATGATTTTATAAATGTTGCGCATCGCTTCAAATAATTTCGTCTGATGACTGACAAACTTAAAAGAGTGTCTCCAAGCAAATTAAGGAAAACTGATTTATACATGCCGTTGTTGAATTACCACTGAGGACCAAGTTTTGGTAAATTTCCATATGTAGATTTATTTCTTGAATAGAAATAAAAAAGAAATAATCACCTACTAGTTAAATAATATTATCGACAGCCTTATTAACCAGTCAACCAGGTTGAATATCTGTAGTGTGAGGGACAAACTTTGCGCAAAGCATCACCTACTAGTTAAATAATATTATTGACAGCCTTATTAACCAGTGAACTGGGTATTGAATGTGTGCAGCTGTTTAAACTGATGTTTCCTTCAATGGGAATCTGCATGCACCATCTCGTTTTCTTCATTTATGTTTTGATTTTGGTATAAGCATATAACTCCAGCTTATGCTCCCAGCTGTTGAAAAGTCTTTCACCCTTGAGAACTGCAAACAAGGCATATTATAGTTTACTAATTCCCAATTTTGTTGCTTCTAAATTCTTAAATAGGTTCTCTGATCTGTTGACCCCTTCTGGCTATGAAAGTTAGGAATCCATGTCTGATTTTAGTTAAAGGTGAAAGTTACACTTATCTGGAGATGATGTGTGTAATCTGAACCTTTCCTTAGATTAAACTTCCTTTTCTCTATCCCCTTTTTTTTATTTTACTTTCTTTTTATGAGAAGATTTGATTTTTTTTTTCTATACTAGCTTAACAATATCCGGTTAGCTGTGTATAATGATTAAATTACTACTCCCAAAGTTCACTGATGCAATTCTTCTATAAATTCCACTTCTATGTTTAAGACTGTTGTTATGGTCGGGAATAGCTACAGGCGCAGGAATTGGGGCTACTTAGGCAAGAAGGGGTCAAGGAGATCATGCAGGAAGAAGTCAGGCGCAGGAATAGGCAAGGGGATCATGCAGGCGCAGGAAAAGCAATCAGGAAGAAGTCAATTTGCAATTACAACCAATCAAATTCTTACCTCCCTTCTCTGTTATCTCATCTCCCTGCTGCCCTCCTTTGACACAATCACCACGGACAGGAAACCGGTGGCCGAACGGCCGGTGACCTCCCACACCTACCCCATCCGGTCACTACCCCAGGGTCGTGACAACTTGGTATCAGCCTCCAGAGATCCTGCCATGGGTTCCAGCAACACCGATCACCTCAAGCAGCTCGAGGAGACTCAAGAATGGCCTGGATGAGATAACAGAGAAGGGAGGTGAGAATTAGATTGGTTGTAATTGCCTGCTTTATTCCTTGATCATCACTGATTATAAAGAGTTTACAAGCATAATTCTCTCCTAGACTCTAGCTTGCTTAATTGACTTCTTCCTGATTGCTTATTCCTGCGCTGCATGATTCCCCGCGCAGGAATAGGCAAAGGGGATCATGCAGGCGCAGGAATAAACAATCAAGAAGAAGTCAATTAAGCAAGCTAGAGTCTAGGAGAGAATTATGCTCGTAAACTCTTTATAATCAGTGGTGATCAAGGAATAAAGTAGGCAATTACAACCAATCTAATTCTCACCTCCTTTCTCTGTTATCTCATTTCCCTGCTGCCCTCCTTCGACACAGCCACCACGGGCAGGAAACTGGCGACTGAACGGCTGGCGACCTCCCACACCTAGCCCATCCGGTCACTACCCCAGTGTCGTGACAAGTGTGGTCAAGTGACATGACAACCCTTGGCATAAGCACAGATGATTCTATTTGAAATAAAGTTTTTTTTTTCTTTTCTGAATGTAAAACACAAATCACTGCAATTAATTAACTTGGCATAAATTGGAGTTACTAATTTGTAAAGCTTGGACGAATCAACATGATTCTGACACCTATTGATGAAATCTGAGTTGTTTCAGTGGCAGTTCATTTTTAAGCAGTTTTCGGTGTTCTTACATTACTGTCATATTTCCTTGTTATGCTTTGTTATAAACTGCATGATGCCAGTGCATTAGTTGACAGTTGACAAAATACAGTGCAAGCAGTACGTTCGTCGGGTGCTAACATTCTAAGTACATGCAGGTTGCTCTGAGTGATACTGGTATCCCAAAAGTTAATGTTTCTCTTAGTGCTGCATCAGACGAGGAACCTGAGGTTGATGTAAGCGATGAGGAATTTCTGCAGTTCGACACCTCCAGTGTGCCCGTTATAATTACATTAACCAAGGTAATGTGTTTCTTCCCTAACTCTTTTATCTTTGGTGTTGAGTAGACATATGCTTTATTGATTGTATGGTGATTGTGTTAAAATGTTTAAAAATGTCCCAACATGGCAGCAAAGTAACTCTTGAGTACCTTCAGAGGTTTGAGCTGCTGACTATAATATAAACTACTATTGAGTAGCTTCAGTTCTATTGTGATATCATATTAGGCTTGGATAGCTCATACGAATCTGTACCAGTTGAATACTCCTGCATCACGTGAAAAATATGACACTACACAGCACATTGAGCCCCACCAACAAATTGTCACTGCCCAGCAAGCAATTGAGCACCCCCAGTAACAATTGTCTTATGTTTTGTTTCTCATGCAGTACCTGTTTTAACATACAAATCAGTTACCTTTGTTGCTTATGGCAGGTGGGTCGGCACTACATTGTTGACGCCACCTCGGAGGAGGAATCCCAGATGAGTTCTGCAGTGTCAGTGTCAGTCAACAGGCACGGCCAAATATGCGGGCTTACCAAGAGGGGAGGTGCAGGGCTGGACCCAAGCGTCATCTTGGATATGATATCCGTTGCCAAGCATGTGAGCCAGCAGTTCATCTCCCTCTTGGATTCAGAGATCGCTGCCGCCGAAGCTGAAGCGGAAGAGTGAAGAAAAAAGAAGAAGAAGAAAGCGGGCAGGAGGCGGCACCGTCTAATTGCTAAGTACTATTCATGTAGGAGTACTCTCTTTGGATCCAAGTATGAGTTCATTTGAGGTTGTTGACGTCGTCCACTAAAATGATGGGAGCGAACACGGGCACTGCAGAAGCCGACGATTTGTCCGGCCAGTTACTTTCCCCAGTCTGCTGGTCTACTGGTGTTTCTTCTCATCAAACGAACATGCACAGTCGGGGGTTACTGCGCTACTAATCTCTGGTGAATTCTCCGAGCGTTGCCGCGGGATTTAGTCTAAAACTGATGTAAGAATTGATGGCGTAGAGGTTTTGAGGATGGAATGTGCACATTTGGAACAGACACATGTTGCACGTCAGTCCAATTGGTGGAAGAAACATCGAATCAATAGCCGCTAAGAGCATCCCAACAGTTTTTCAATTCCACCCCTCGTCCTCGTAAAACTGTCACATTGACGGAGATGGCTCACCTTTTCTTCTCTAGTAGTCCCTCAATAGCCATTTCTCTTTTTTGTTGCAAACACCTCTTCTCCCTTCAAATGAGGGGGAAGTTCAATCTCCCCAATAAGTGAGGTCTGTCGTAACTGTCTTTTTTCTTCCTCTGCTCACCACTGACGGAACATGGGTGAACGGGACGGAGAGGCGCCATTGTAAGGTCCAAAAATATATACACACATATATAATGTAACTTAAAGTAAATAAAACAGTAAAGTATATTTTTTCTGTTTAGAAATTTTAATCTTTTATAGGGAGAGAAAGTGAGCGTGTAGCCACAGTGGAACCTTAGGGTGAAGGGATTGGATAGCCACGGTTGAGCCTTAAGGGTGAAAGGCATTGGATAGTATCGGCTGGAATGGATAGGAAAGCACTGTGAAAAAGACAAATGATATGCTGAAGACAGAAACTTCTACCTCCTTTATTGCCGTAGATAGTTACTTGGGCCTCGTTTAGATTGCAAATTTTTGCAACCTGGCGTTTCGTTTGAATTTGACAAACTTTGTTCGATCATGGACTAATTAGACTTAAAAGATCCGTCTCGTGATTGACAACCAAATTGTGTAATTAGTTATTTTTTTTACCTATATTTAATACTCTATGCATGCGTTTAAAAATTGATGTGATGAAGAAAGAGTCAAAAAACTTAAAATTTAGAGGTGATCTAAACATGGCCTTGGTAGATATTCCCATGTCCGGCACCTTACGCACCTTACACAACACCAGCTATGGTGCCTTGCTGCTCTGTGCTTGCAGAAGCCCTAGTCTAGTCACTCAAGTGTTTATCATCTAGCCTTTACAGCTATATCATCCTGTTCATACATGCATGCATGCTGCATGCGCCTGGAGTGACCATGCGCTAGTACTACTAGAAATTAGATAGTATCAACACTAGTATGTAACGTTGGAAAAATTATAATGGTCCAAAGAGGTTTGTTTAAATATTTAGTAATTTATCAAACCAAAAGCAAGACATGCCATTCGTTTATACATACTAGGCATGCTAGAACATATACTCAGTTCATGGTCACGCATGCGCACCTAGAGATGCTGCTGCACAACTAGTGTGTCGAGTTCTTAACTAGAGTATGACTATTATATTCCAGTGAAGTAATTACATGTAGTCTGGAACCCCACGATGAGATTCACTGGAGAAAATAACCAGTAAAGGCAAGACTGTGCATGTCGACTAACTTGCTATTATTATATTCTGCAATATTTATGAGGGGACTAATGTGTTATCTCATATAAAAAAGAAAGGACGGTTTGCACACAAATAGTCATAAGACGAACGCAGATGAAATAACATCCGTCACTGTCTGGGCACGTAGGGGTACTTAGCCTGAGATAGCCAAACTTGAAATAATGATGCATGGGTAGGCCGTGGTCAGTGTGGAGGTGAGAATAGCCCACACAAGCAGGGTATTTGGTGATGAGATTCCCAGATGAAGGGTATTTCCAAATAATAACTAATGGAGGGAGTCTGTGACGGTGAATATGACTAATCTCTGCAGAGGAAATTGTAATTTACGATTTCCTCTGCAGAGATTAGTCATATTCACCGTCACAGTCTCCTTCCATTAGTAATTTATCCCCGCAAAAAAAAAACAATTACTAATTTATGTCTTACTTATGTCTTCTGTAATGAATTTATTCTCTAATATTCTTGCTGAGTATGTGTAAACATACTCATGTAGATCTTGCTTTTGTTGATATACACAGAGGAGGGAGAGAGTAACAGTGTCATGGACGGGACATGTGATGATGATGTGCATGCCTAGGCTTGGGATAGATGTGGACTCGTATATCACCAAGAATAAATGCATGCCTCTACGCCTAGGCTGTAGTGTGCTGGAAATAAGAAAGCTGTTGCTGTACTACTTGTAATTAATCCATAAATAAAGTGAGAAGTGTTTTGTTGGCTATGTTGTCTACTAAAGCCTTGTGTGTGTATAATATTTTTTTATACCCACACGGCGCTATCACATTTCTATTTTTGGGATGTGATAGTTTGTGGTATCAGAGCCAGGTTAGGAAAAAAAATAACTAGACACCCATGGCCAGGCGTGACCGGGGTTGGGGACGCAGCCGGCTATGGTCGGAGACGACGATGGCAAGGCCGGTGTCGCGGCCGACTACAAGGTAGGCGCCAGCAGACTCGACGATCTCGGTGCAGAAGGCGGAGCTAGCCCTGGTGCTGGATGAGGCGGAGGGTGTCGGGCTCGTGCTTAAGGAGGCTGGGCCGGGGCGACGCCACCTCCAAGCTCCACGGTGGGGAGCGACGGGCGGCAATGCGCGATAGCAGCTCAATACGGAAAGTCCGTATCCTCCATGGAGTTGTCCTCGGCTTGCCGGATGGGGATCCCACCGAAATGTCCACGGAGGCTGGGCCTGCTCGAGTTGTCCATGGAGCGGGCCTCGGCCTGGGCGGCGTCGTATTCGGTAGAAGATGTGAAGCCGCAAACTCCCGATGCGGGAGAAGATGAATGGAGGGGAGAGAAAAGAAAACAAAAATAAATAAATAAATTAAACCGATAGTTGGGTCCCATGATAGGGAGAGATTATTGATGATATGCTGTAGCATCTCCTCCAATATTTTAAAAAATAATATTGGGCCACCCCAATACCAGTGGTGGAGCGTGGCCCAAACACAGGGGGGGGATTGCCTATTCCTGATCACCGTGTACCAATTTTTTGTGAGAGCAGTTAGGCCAGCGTTGCAACCTTGTGAAGATTTTTGGGCCACAAGGAACTATGCTTACATATTTTTTGGGCCAGCTAGCTATTTTACATCGCTTTTGGACTTTATTTAATGGGCTGACAACATTGGCTAGTACACATAGCTGCACTTCGTATTGATGGGCCAGTAGACCATGCGAAAATTTTGTGAGCCAAAGGGGGCGGAGGCCCAGTTTCACCTCTACTAGCCTCCGCTCTTGCCCAAATACCATCTTACTAGGAGAGTTGTATTGGGGAGCTATTGGAGATGCTCTTAAGTTTTAAAGAAAATAAGGTGCCACCATCTAAACTGAAGTAAGAGAAACACATTATCACTTAATAAAATCCTTAAATTTATTAATTACAAAGGCATAGAAAAAGTAAAATACATGATAAAAAAGTCTGTGGATGTTTTTTAAGTTAGTAGAGCAGATTGACAAAATTGGGTCATGATATGGCTTTTTCTACTGCACTAAATACGATCGAGATTGATGAGGAGTTAATTGGACATATTTTAGCTGACTACAGATATTTGACATCACAAGTGCTTGAGCAGAATGCATGTGGAGGGTGTGGCTTCAATGTCTATAGTCTCTTCAATCATTTACACATGGTACCACAAGCTTCTTTGCCCCTCACATACAAGTGTAGGTAATTTTTGAAAGCATGGAATAATCTGTTTGATCATGCAACGATTTTGCATTGGTCGGATGGGTGAGTATATGAAATATATAGTTACAACATAAAGGGAAATATCATATGAGATTACTGCACTAGTCAATCTATTCCTTAATCAAGAAGTTGTTGTTAGTGCCAATCTAGTGTTGTCCTTGGCTCCTTGCCCTGTGGAGAGGTGATGCCAAATCCCATGAGTGGCAATTGTTGCTATTGAAGGACAGAGCTGTAGCGCATTCGAGGCTCAGGTGAATGTAACGCACGATCATGATACATATCACATTATATTCACCTAACATTGGCATGTGGTTGGAGCAGGAGGATACTAGACAATACCGGAAACAGTATATATGCCGAGTGCCTGGTGGTTTGTTGAGCGTATTTCTTCAGGCACTCGACAAACAGTATCTTTACCGAGTGCCTACAGGTAAAAGCTCAGCAAAAAAATACACTAGGCAAAAAACTTATTTGCCGAGTGCAGGAAATAAAACACTCGGCAAACAACAACAAGGCACTCGACAAAGAATAGACACTCGGCAAACACTGGTAGAGAACCGAGCTTTACTCCCGGTGGGGAACCCCCTCTAGTCCCGGTTCCCCACCCGGGAGCAAGCATCCGGGACTAAAGGGGGGTCCTTTAGTCCCGGGTCAGGAACCGGGACTAAAGGAGGACCTTTAGTCCCGGTGGGTAACACCAACCGGGACTAAAGATGCCTCCCGACATGCCACGATGGCGGCACCTTTAGTCCCGGTTGGTAATCTGAACCGGGACTAAAGGTTTTTCTTTTTCTTTTCTTTTCATTTTTTGTTTCTTTTCAAAATAGGTTTTCAAGTCGTATTGTACGCTGCTAATTATACATTTATACGCCAGCATATAGTATGTTTCGTTCAAGCACAATGAACGTATTAAATCACACAATTCAAGCATATATATATATATATATATATATATATATATATATATATATATATATATATATATATATATATATATATATATATATATATATGAATGCACGATCATATATATATTTACATGCATGCATGCATATGTGTATTTTACATTATATTATTTCATGTGCATATATTA